ACTTCAATTATCATCATCAATTTCCAACCACCATCACACCATTGTGAATTGATTAAATTCAAGTGACTGTTTTCAAACTAAGAACTTATAGCCTAAAACTCTCATTATTAGCCTATCTCATATTATTTAGCCTACTTTAGTACTGTATAAATTAAGTTAATTAGCCTATCAGAATTTCATACCCGGCACGAACCAACCCCTAGATTAAGATAATTTTCTCTCCAAATTGCTATCTAGCCTAGCACATCAAAAACCTAGACCAAAATATAATTTCACTGTCATAGCCCAATGAGATTTTTGTAATAGCTATAGAACCTAAATATATTTTATTGTAACTTTATTGGAATTTTATTATCTATTTTAAGTAAATTCATATTTTGAAATCCATAAATAAAGAGGAGTAGGTTGCAAAATGGCGTCCCAACGAGTGGGCTATTGAAAATTCTGATCTAGGCCTAACCTACGATTAACCTACACAATTTAAGATAGGCCCTAGTAACCAAATTAACACACAACTAACAAACCTTCAAATACACAAATAAAAAATATATACAACAACACAGGGAATAATCATTTATTTAATCAATATGAGTGACGATGACAAAAGGTACAATTTACGACCAAAGCCGAAGTTATCGTGGAAGGCAGCCGAAAATAATTTGCGTTACAACACGGACAAAGCTGAACTTGTAATAAACTTTATTTTTTATTCAAACCATTTTCATTATAGATCTTATTTTCATAACACAAAACCAAAACGATGTGATATTAAACTATTAACTATTTGACAGAGTCTAGGAGGCAGAACATTTTGCCATTTCACAATAGAGTAGGCCTACTATATGCAATTTCAACATACAGTATCCCCTTAATGGTAAAATGTCCTCTTTATCTATAAACTGTCAACATGTCTCTGAATTTGTTTAAGTTTGAATGTGTTTTGTGAACAAATCAGCTATCAGATCATCAGTCGGGCAGTATTTAATTTCAAATTCTTGGTTCTGATATTTTTCACTCAGATAATGAAATTTCATTTCATTATGTCTTCTTCCTGTTAAACTTAACTGACCAGATTTAATTAGTTTTATAGAACTTGGGTTGTCCACATACAAAGTCGCTTTTACTTGTTTTCCCATTATCTCTTCAATCAAAGTTCTCAGATATGTGAATTCCGTACAGCAATCTGCAGCGGCAATACTCAGCCTCTGTTGTAGAATTTGCAACTATGTTCTGTTTGAAAGCAGCTAATTTAAACCAAGCAGCAACAAAAAACCGTAATACGCAATAAGAACTGTCAAAGTTGGATTATATACACTTCTTATGTTTATGTTTTTAATTCCATGAATAATCTGTGATACTTTGTTTTAATCTTTAACCCTCCGAGTGTCCATAGTTTAGGCCTTAATGTTCACCTATTTTTGGCGCATTTGCAAGGTTTTATTAAAACGGATCTGAGAAGCTTAAAACAATGTTAATTCTACTGTTCTATATACCATTTTGTTTGGAAAATCATGGGCTTCAATATCATATATAAAACATAAGGAATATTTGTTTCAAAAAAATTTTTGGTAAAAAAAATTATTTTGGAAAAATTGAAAAAAATAAGTTCGCGCTCAATAAAATTGTATAAATTATAGGCCTATAAATATTTGAATAGCCACTTTGTTCTAAATTTTATGAGGATTACAAATATATAATAATATAAGGAAGTAGATTTGCAAATAAATAAGTTATGGACAAAAAACTGATTTCAGTACATAGCGTTTAGCTAAGAATGCATAGCCTAACCATAGCTAGGAATCTGGCTGATAATTAACATCAATGTCACTACCAACTTCATCCGGATCGTCAATAAGTCCTTCAACATCACTAATATCATCTTCTAGTGCATTACGTATATCACTACTGTCCATTTTTACCACTAAAAACGACGATAAACGTACAAAAACACACAAGTCACCGATGTGAAATAACCAAGTTGTCTAAAACACGAACGTCAGCTGTCTGCTACAATTACGATCGGCTCGGAGAACATAAAGCGCTTAGAGACAGACCTCTGGAGAAAGCTTAGAATCTAACGAAAAGAACGATACCTAACTCGATCCAGTTCAATCCGATTCAGTCAGTCAGAGCCTTCGCCGTAAACGATGTTCGTGTGTCGAAAAATCGATGCGTGACACTACACAAAGTGTGTCGTGAGTCGATTTTTCGACGAGTGACGCTCGGAGGGTTAATAATTTATTTTTCTCTAATTGTTTAGCTGAAGTGGTAGAACATTATGGCTATGGTAGATGTGTAATACTATAGTATACCGTAAATTTAAAGAAGGAAATTTTATTAAACTGTGTCCTCCCCAACTGTAAACGCAAAGCTTGAGTATAAAGCATCTTATACTTATATGCCAATCCCGTATGAAGGACGGGTACTCTGCTAGTATCATCATGAACTTATCTTACACACTTGAAATTAAAATTGATTGTGGACTAGTTTCTCACTGTTTGTACTATAGGCTTAGCAACTCAAATTTGAAATTAAACCTGACTCTAGAGGGTTTTACCAATTTTATTGGTTCTACTGACTGACCTTATTTTGGAACATTGTTACAATATATCTATAATGTGTTCTTGAAAATCAAACTTCATTGCCATTGATAATCTCAAGCACATAGTGAAAAGACAATAGTAGTGTTTTAGATTCAGTTTCAATTTTTATAAACTCAACATTTAGATATCAAAGGTTATCCTAGTTTAGTAGGGTCATGTTAATGACATCATATTACGAAGACTCTTAAGTAATTAATGATAAATGAAATTAAATAAGATACTTACTTAGTTTTTAAATATAGAAGATTAAAATTTGGTTATTGTAAAATTTGTTGAAGAAAATTTTGAGTGAAATATTTAGAATGCTATAATATTCTTAGAATATAATGGAATGCCTATCACTATACAGACTTGTACCAGGGTTTTTTCCTAAAAATTGTTGTTTGGTTATGTTATGAAGATTGTATGTCATGTGTTGCTAGTGATTTTGAAAACTATTATACCGTTTTACAAATTCAGTGAACATAAAACTAAAAGCTTTGAAAAAGTGATAGTTAGTATTCATGTAAGCTGTATTCCACCAGAAAAGGTAACAAATTTACTCTCTTTTGTAAAATCTGTTAATTTGTGACTCTTGAAAATGAAAAAAAAAACTATCTGAAACAGTTATCACAAGTTTTCAATTGGTGATAAAAATTGGACATCCAATACTTAAGTGACACTAATGAAATCTGGTGTTGTCTTTTAAACTCCACAGCAAAAAAAAAAAAAAAAAAAAAAAAAAAATACTTTGGCAATGGACTCTTCACAAGAGATAAACTATAGTGACATACACAAACTTCTTAAAGAGTTGAAGACAACTTTTAAGCAAGTCAAGAAGCTCTTTGGCGACTTACTTACATTTTTCCTCGAGACATTGAAAAGTGCCGAAAAAGTATGCAAACTGTCTCATAAAATGTTGTCCATGAAGAAAACAGATGCGGGAAATGTCTCCCATCATAATGTTCCATACAACCTTCTGTCAGGGCTAGATGACCCGAAGAAAGATTCAGTTAGAAACTTAAAATCTCTCAGGGTTCCTCTAAAAACTCAGGATGTGTCGTCAATCGTAAGAAGGTTAGATGAATCTATAAGTGAGGGGATGGAAGAGCCTATGATTGATGCTTCTTTGGAGGTTAATCCAACATCCAAGATATCCAAAATTTCTGTCAAAATGGTTGGACAACTGCACACTGAGGAAATTTTGCTGAGGTGTGTTGAAAAAGATCCACCTATCCGACGCTCGCGTTTAACGATAGATTCTGCGAGGCGCCACTTACTTGCTGCTGTTCAACAGGCCCGTCGCTCTAAATGTTATAAGTGTATTTGGTTCTGTGGCCCAATGACTTTCTTTAGAAAGAATGAAGGTATGAATACTTTGCCTGAAAAAAGGGTGACAACTTTTATATTTTGTTTGTGAGGTAATGTATCTGGTCAATTCTGTTTTAGCGAACCCATATAGTGAATAAGCTTTTAATCTCATTACTCAGTAAGACCTAGACCCAATACCGATAAAAAAAACTGTAAATGCGATGGAAGGTGGTGTTGTTGACTAGGTCTATACACTTCTCAATTGACTATTACCATTGACTGATTATTATATTATACTGAATTATTATATTAATCCTGAATTATTATATTAATAGTCAAAAATATTACTCTCTACTGTAGGCTACTTATAATCAGTGTGCGAATCGGCCGCAAATCTCACTTCAACGCTTTTCACATCGTCACAATTGCTGTTTTATTGTAAAATTATCAGATTTAAAATGTATATCGTTAGGCCTATGATGGAATAAAACATCTTTGGCCACGCAACATTTGTTTACAAGATGATTTTTCACATTAAAACTGCAAGCAAATATTTTGTCTTTATACGTGTAAACTAGCTGTTCTGAATTGTACACAGTTTTAACTGACTACTCAATTCCCGTACGTAGGACGGGCTAGCATCTCGTTCTTATTTAAAATTAAACGGTTGTAGGTTGCATGTTTATGGAATTATTTTGATCAAATTTGGTAAATTTATTCTTTTCATCTAAGCTTATTACTATTTCACTAAATAACAAACCTCATTACCTTAACTGTAGCAGTAAACCTAAGTACTCATATAACCTAATATTTATAGTCAATCAATCTGACATATTTTAGGAATTATTTTAGCGATAATCCTATCATACTGCACTCATCTCCATTCATACTCGGCTTAAAATACCTACCTTTGGATGGTCACTCTGCAGGTTGGAAATAGTTTTGAAGTACGATTCACATACATTACGCTCAATTTAAACTGTGTTGTTTATTAAAAGACATGAACTACTGTATAGGGTTTTTAAAATTATAAATATGTCTATAACATCTTTAACAAACGTTGTGTTCTTGAAACATTGGTTTCCTAACTGTTTTTTTTCTCTCCAGTACCCCCACCCCCGAGGCCACATACGGGCCCGGCAGCTACCATCACCGCGGGAGGAGTTGACTTTACTCCCAGTGCTCCTCCCGCACCCTCCTCCCCTCTACCTACCACCTCTGAACACACAGCGGATCCTGCAGAGCTGCTAGTGTCTCACGTGTGAGTATTTAATGCTTAAAATTTTAATAATATGTTGTATAACTTTCGGTAAGTAGGTCTATCCATAAATATTACAGTTTAAATTTGCACAATCAGCCATGCACTAGTCCGGGGTATCTAGTCATCTAGCAGTCTTAGACCATTAGTTTTGCAGCCTATTTTTTACGATTTTAATGTCACTAAGTATCTGTGTTGTTTAGTCCAGCTGCGCAGTTTGGCATTTAAGTTGTGTTTGTGAATGTAAGTGTTTTTGAAAGGCAAAGTCAATTGTGTGCAAGCACATTGGTTTTTGACACTAGTGCAACCCAGCCTAAAAGCTTATCTGACTGAACAATCAGAAAATCATCTTGAGCCAAGCTTTTCTTTTTGTGATATTATTACGATCACAGAAGGCGTCTGCAAAAATTTTTTCAGTTGAAATTCACAATGCTTTTGCGATTGCCGAATTTTTTCATGATTTTGTTGTGATTGTCCAAGAAGATATTTACGCAACCAGTTTACAATTCTTTTTGCTCTTAAAAGTAGTAGTAAGTTCAATTTTTAATGGAGGCAAGTTTAATGATATGGTCTCTGAAGGTTGGTTTCTGTATTGCAGCAAAGAGATGACCAAATTGCCCTATGCACGGCTGGAGGAGGTCACTGATGGGTTCGCTGCTACACGTCTGCTGGGTGGAGGTGCGTGGGGACAAGTGTACCAAGCCACTCTGCCCCGTCTCGGCCCGGTAGCTATCAAGCGACTACACCTGGCAGTGACGGGGGGACCTTGGGAACCTCTGCAGCAGTTCCACAACGAGGTAACTTAGTCTACCGTCCAAGTAAAGCTAGTTTACACAATATTGTAAAGTGAATTAGAATTTCGATAGACATTGCAACTTTTTGTTTTAATTTTAACTCTTATTTTCATCCAAGTTCCTAATTGAATTGTCTATTGTCCTGTTTGAAGGAGTAGTATGTAGTCAATAAACAATAATTGTTTATTGACTACATACTACTCCTTCAAACAGGTAGTGTAGCTGTTTAATATTAGTTTTATGTATTACAAATTCTCATTGGCTATTGTCTCAATAATGTGTTAGGGGAATTAAGGTATCTGTTTGTTGGACAGTAGCTGTTTGTACCCTTATTTTTTACGAGTTATTGTCATTACTACTTTTTATGTTGAAATCATCTTTATTACCTTGTAGTTTCCAGACCAGTTTTTCCAATGATTCCGCAAGTGTGTTGACTGATGTATGCAACATTGTTTACAGATTGATGTTCTGGCACAGTTATCCCATCCCAACCTACTGCCACTGCTAGGCTACTCGGAGGATGGCCCGGCGCTCTGTCTGGCGTATAAGTACATGAGGCATGGCTCCTTGCTTGACAGACTGGCGTGTACGGTAAACACTAGTCATTTGTATTGTACATTATATCAGTTAGTATCCACTTTGAACAGTACATGAAATATCTCTGGCCAAATGATGTTTAAAATCTCAAAAACCAAAATGATAAAAATGGTTTACAGAATCGCTTCACCTGTTTCAAAGCCAGATTCAATTCCAAGAGAGAACCAGATTTAATAACTCCGGTTTTCATCAATAGACTCTTGAGTCACCAACATGATACAGACGTGTAACCGATGTCCCAACTCCATTGACCATAGGGTGAAGCACTTGGAAGCTCTAAATAAACGGTGGGATTCTGGCACAATATTGCTGAGGTGGAGGACCAAACAATAACAAGACAAGAGCTGACTGGACACAAAATATAAATTTATCTAACAATATATATATATATATATATATTATTTTCTTGCATTTTTAGGGCTACTAATATAATAAAATTATATGTTTTAATTTTAATATATATATATATATATAAAACAATATATAACAAGCATTCTTCTTTTGATGTAATTACCAAGCTATGCTCTAGTCAAAAGAATAACCTAACCTTTTCAAACTATTTAAAATTTCTTTAAAACATAAAATATTTCATTTAAAATTTGAAATTTTTTTATTTATTTATTTAGTTAACATTACCATTCAGCAAGACATTTAATCAACAAGTTCAAGAAAACAGGGTTGAGTTAGGTTAGGTGGCCACCTTGTAAAAAATCTTAATATATGTATTTAGCCTAGTTACTTTGGAGTCAGTGATAAGAAGATAACTCAGGAAGACCCCTGAGGATGCCACACAAGCTGGTGAAATGCATTGGGTGACACAAGCGTATTACCTATTCAAGAACACAAGCAACAACAAAAATGGGGAAATGAAGTTTAATTTGAAAATCATTGTAAAAAAATACAATAACGGTACAATGTTGGGTTCCAGAATGGGAGGCAGCCTCTGCAGTGGTGTGACAGACTGGTGATTGGTCTAGGCTCTGCACGAGGTCTGTGTCATCTACACACGGTGTTGGAGAGGCCCCTTGTACACCGAGATGTCAAGTCCGCTAATATTCTGCTGGACGACAACTTTGTTCCCAAGGTAAACCACAAACTAATACACCACTGCGTAATTTCTTGTATTAAATGGGTTTTGACACTTTGTATGTAAAATTGTGTACTGTTTTAGAAAGTAATATTTAGACTTATTCTTGATTGTTCCGTTATTTTCGGCCAACCAGATCAAACAGAAACCAGAACAGGGTACAGGCCCAATTAGTTTGGATCTGACCTATTGAACCACAACATTTCCTTATTATCATTGTTGTAAGTTAATTTTTGGTAATGGTGAATTTATCATTTAAGAAATCACTGCAGTGATTTTCCATCACGATTAGTAATAACATTGAGTATACACGTGCTATAGTAGCCACTCAATGGAGGTTATCGTTACCTGAACAGCGCTGTTCCAGACTAGCAACAGCGGCCCGAACTACTCCACCCTGGGCTTGTCGGTAAGGCAGTTTGGTGGTTTTTTATTATTGCTTTCATTGAAGGCTGTAAAATGTCATTTTTGTTGATGAAATTCATTTGTTTCTTTCTAGTTTCGTTGTTTTATAATACAATTTTTTTACTACATGATTAAAAGATCCTCACAGGCGCATTGCACTATCGACAGACTACCGCGAATCAAGCGTCAGCGGCCCGAACTACGTCGCCAAAATCGGTGACAACTCTTATACGTGTATACTCAATGGTAATACATAAACTTTTTACGATGTCTCGTGATTTGGAATCTGATCTTGTCCACAGGCGAGAAAGCAACATCTTGTGTAGACATGTGTTCTCTAGATCTCATTATTAATTATTGTTTTAAAAAGATTTATTTTGTTTGGCTAATATACAGTTCTCTGTGTTGTGTTTCATTCAGATTTTCCAGCTTTGGCTGGGTTTTGTGTACTATTCTTCTTATGTTTTAGCTGCTTTCCCACCTGTTGACAGAATCAAATTCCAGATCCTGAAAAATTGGAAACATTTTGATCTTTAGGATCTTTGTTGTGGGCCGCAAGTCCTAATTATAGTTTGCTGGTTCAGTTAGGTGATTTTGGCCTGGTCCGGATGGGCTCTAATGCCAACCACACCCAGACAGCGGCCATTACTACAAACGTCATTGGCACATCGGCATACATGGCTCCCGAGGCCTACAGAGGAGATGTGTCCGTCAAGATGGATGTTTTCAGCTTCGGGGTGGTGAGTTACTTGTCCACAAATATTAGTAGTTTACTAGTCTTGGCCATTGAGGACACAGAGGCAGATAATAAGGTTATTTAAATCTGCTTTAGAAAACAGAAAAACACCTGAATTGATTATAGAAACAAAACTTGATGGACCCAGTACCAATTTACTTATTAGTTTTGATATACCCGGAGGCTAACTACTAGCATTTATTAGATGCCTAACATTGACAACTAGATCCAGTTACAAACTATCAAAACCTCAAGACTTTTGTCAAACGGGCAACCCTCTAAGTTAAAGTGAACCCTATAAGCTCTCAACAAATCAGCAAATTATGTTTTACTTATTTATTAATTTACAAAATCCACACTTGTTTCATGTTAATTAATATAATAATTACATTAATCAACACCTTACCGTTTATTACTCTGGCGGATCAAAAATAATAGTTGCTGAAGCAAAAGGTGTATTTAATACCGAACAAGGGCTACTTAATAATACTTAAAAAGGCAGTTAAAAGTATTGTTGCTTTTCAGGTCTTATTGGAGCTATTGACAGGCCTGCCTCCTTATGATGAAAACAGAGAAGGTCATGACCTCGTAAGTAATGCAGTAAAGTAAAAAAGTTGAACCATAAAGTTAGATTAATATTTTACAAGGAAAAGATTATCATTTAATAAACAGTTATCAATTATTCTAGGTTAAAATTATGTTGAGTAAGCTTGTCTATTATGTATTTTATTTACACAACTGATTACAGAAATGTATTTCAGATAACTCATGTGGACGACGCTGATAATAGAAATGAACTAGTAGACAATAGAGCAGGAAACTGGCCTCAACACGTCGTTCAACAGATGTTTGAACTTTCCGACTTGTGTTTGTATGAGAAGAAAAGACGACCGTTGATGCCAGCTGTAATTGAAAAACTAGAACTTTTGATTTGCTAGTTGAACATGAAGATAATCAGTAAAATGTTAGAGGTCAAGCGTGTAACATAGACTATAGACCACAAGGACCTAGGCTTTTAGGATTTTTGTGAGGATAGGTGGCTTATAGCATAGATGCAATACTGCATTGGTAAATTTCTCATCCAAATGGATCAGTTAAATACAATTTTATTATTAGTTCCGCACAGTGCACTGTAGCGATCAGCGTCACCAACATGAACTATGCACGAAAAACGAGCTTCATCATTTACAATGGGATGAGAAGTTTACTTGTGTTGGATTAATCTATGCATACTCATAGCATTGTACATAGCATTGATATAAGCCCCCGTATGCTGCATGTACTGAGCTACGGGTACTCTATCACTACTAATGCAATCAAAATACATAATTGTAATATTTGATTAAGAACAAATTGTATTATGTACTTGTCTATTAAGCAGGTTAGAAAATAGTGCATTACTCTTACCTGAACATAACTTGAAGTGAAACAATTAATGTGCCAAGGAGACCGAAAAACAGAAAATTTGTGTTTAGTTGTTATTTGCCGCTTAACCCTTCCCGGACGGGTGACGGATATATCCGCCTAAGTCTTTGGCGATAAAGGACGGGTGGCGGATATATCCGCTTATGGTTTTTGATGTTCCGGACGGGAAGCGGATATATCCGCCTTCTCTTCAGACAGACTGGCAGGTGCTTGAGCAGTAACCAGATGTTTTGCGGTACCAAAGCGCCACTTCCTGCTCTCTCCATGGCTGAGCTCTCTCCCACAATCCCCCCTCTCTCCCGCGCACCCCCCACCTCTCCTACGGTCTTCCCTCGACGTTTCACGCTCAACATTACCTTGTCTTTATTGATTGTTTAAACATATTGTTCTTTATTTATTGCCTAAAGTTGTCATGGTCATATCTTCAAAGACGGGTGGCGGATATATCCGCTGCTTTTCTACTCATCCGTGAACGGGTAGCGGATATATCCGCATAGATAAAAACTAGTAAAAAATTATTTTGACAGTATGAAGTGTTCCATTGTGTTTATTTTATGTGTACTTGTATAACAAAACACAAATAAGGAAAATAAATTTTTATTTTTTCTTATAATTTTTTCCAGTTCTATGTCACGATTTCGCCTGTCCGGGAAGGGTTAATACTTTAATTGCTTGTTATATTATCTATAGGCCTATAAATAAAAATTAATCCCTTTTTAGCGAATTTCCCTATAGGGAAGTAGCTATTACCGTAGGTGGCACGATAAGACCTAGACCCGGGACCAATTTACTTTTTCATTTTGATGTCCCCAGAGGCCAAAAACACCATTTGTTCAAATTTGTATATATATATAGAGACATATATATATATATATATACGTCCGTGAACGCGATAGCTTGAGTAATTTTTGTCCGATTTTGATGAAATTTGGTTTAAAGGTGTAAAGCGGGATAAACTTGAATGAGTTCGCGAACCAGCATGATCGGACCATGGGAACGGGGCTTTACGGGGGGTTTTATGGGGTAAAAATTGGTTTTTCTCACTTTTGACCCTCAAAACACAAAATTTCCCAATTTCTCTCTAGACCTTTTTAAAGAGCTTAAAAAAAAAACAAATAATTTATTATACAAAAGTATTTTTGTTTGATTATTAGTAACGAAGAAAATTTAATAAATTGTCAATTTAAAATTCCCATGTTATTCTTATGGAGAATATTGTCAAATGTTGTAGTTTGCTTGTTTATGGATATATTTTGATCAAACTTGGCAAATTTATTTATTTTGTACTAAGCTATCAATATTTTACTCAAAAACACACTTTATTAGTTTCCTTGTAGCAGCAAATCTAGGTACTCGTTAAACCTAATGTTATTAAAATATATTTAACTGAAAATCAATTCAGACAAATGGAAATTCGCTTAGTCGGCAGGTTTGCTGCGGCGGGGGTATTTGATAGTATTCCATTACTCGCGAAGGAGTGCACGAATTGGATGAGTCTTTTTTTGTTGTGTTCCTTAGTGCCAGGGGAAGGTTTGTATGTAAGGAAGTTATTAATCCATCCAACTGTTATTTAGTATTTAGAATTTAAAAATTCAAAAAAAAATTGCCTTTACATTAGCTCACTCACTTTAACCTGGAGGCGAGTGAGGCAACGAATGAGCTCCAAGCCAAAGGTTGAATGAGCGTAGCAAACAAATTTCAACCAGGACGTGATTGAGCGATGCAAACGAGCTCATCTTGAAAATGTACGAGCATTTGACATAAAACCACATTAGGACAGGACAACGTCTGTCGGGCCAGCTAGTATTCTAATAATTACTATTTCAGGGTTGGTACGGTCAGGGAAAACCTGGAAAAGTCAGGGAATTATGACAAAGTTCTGGAATTTCTCCTGAAAAACTAACTTTTTACAGATAGCCTATGCTACATTTTGCTCTAAACATGTTTTTATCAGAATGATGACTTATGGCAAAAAGAACGACAGAAGCACTGATGCACATTTTTATATCGATAGTTAGTTATCGGTACGGGGGAGTAATTGATATGAATAGGTTGTCCAAAAATTCCTGGGTTGGTTAAATATTTTTTGAAATAAGTTATTTAAAATAGAGCTTTAAAACTTTGCACAAAGTTACTGGACGTAAAAATCCGTTTTATTTCATATTGAGTGATCCGCTACTTCCTCAGGGGGACGGCCCACTAGGAGTCAGAAGAAAATCTTAAATGTAAGCATAGGTTGATATTCACATAAAATTAAAGGTCTTTGTTAGTAAAACACAATGCTACAAACACAAACTCAAACGGACACCCGAGTCAAAAATGACATCCGTCCAAATATTAATTTAATTTGCAATGCTATTATACGCTACCTCCTCAGGGGCCGCTAGAAGTCGGAAGAAAATCAAACGTAAGCATAGGTCAATGCACATCAAATTAAAGGTCTTTAGGCTATATGTAGAATACAATGCTGCAAATAGTGATGTAAAATTCTCGGGAATTTAAAATCAAGGAAACATTCCCACTATTCCCAGGGAATATTGCCGGCAATATTCCCAAAATTCATAAATTCCCAGGAATTTATGATTAACTAGCAAGGTAGGTTTATAAACTGTTTAAGAGGTAAAAGCCGTAATTATATGGTTAAATCAATCTCAAAAACTGAAATATATTTTAGTTCAAAATTGTAATTGAAATAAATAACTGGTAATTTATCATTTTATAAGCTAAATTAATAGGTCATTGTGGTAGTTGTATGATTAAACAAAACTCTAAACACTCTTATGTTAAAAAAAATATTATAATTGATTTAATACTCAAATCAGAAAAATAACCTAGTAAATACCCAGTAGATAAAAATAAAAAAAATAATAAAACTGTTAATTTAACATATTAAATTAAGACTACGTATTATAAACCAAAAGGTTTTATGGGCCCTTCAACCCTTAAAAACTGCATCACCGCATTGAGAGAAATAATTTGCTATTGGATCGATCCATCTCACACTATTGATGCTGCACCCTAATATGAGAGGCAGTTTGCTTGTCCCTATCGAGCTACTTGATGCCATAGGTTTTGTTTGTGATTGTGCTCAGCAGTTGCATTTAGAAAGTCAAGCGTAAGGCTTATTCTCAAGAAAGTTTCTTTGGGGAGGTATAGAGGATGAGGATAAAATTATCAGGCGGAATACGGAATATATAATTATACAGAAAGCAAAGATATCATATAAGTGTTATTCATATCATATAAGTGTAATGTAAAAAATATAATTTAAAAATATATATATTTAATATATATTGTTATGATTATGTTTGACCAAAGGATGTTTGTTTAAACATGAGTTCTAAAAAATATATTTTGTTTATAAATACCTCAAGTTTTTGATGATAGTTCTAAGAATTAAAATCCATTGAGTTTCATAAATTCTAATTTGTGTATACAGGAAATTAATGCATGGAATGACAACTCTTAGATTAAAATGTATGAATATACTTAGGTGACATAGTTTTAAGGCTCTTTAACTTTAAATAAGTTAATGTTAAAAACGTTCAAATCTATACAATTTTCATAAATTCCAATAATTTTGGAATCTTTCCGGTTTTGAGCCAAAGAAATATTCCTGGCAATATTTCCATTTCATAAGTTCCCTCCCACTGGGAATATTCCCGGCCCACATCACTAGCTGCAAATTTGAGTTCAAAATAACATCTGGGTAAAAAATGGCAACACTTTAAAGATTCAAAATGGCAGATTCTAGAAATTCTAGAATGGCTGTCATTTTTTACTCGGTCATCCGTTTGAGGTCGGGTTTGCGGTTCTGTACTCTAAAGACCTTTTATTTGGTATGCATATCAACCTATGCTTACGTTAGGGATTTTCTTCTGACTTCTAGCGGGTCGTCCCCCTGAGGAAGTAGCGGATCACTGAATATGTGATAAAATAGATTTTTATGTCCAGTAACTCTGTGAAACTTTTGTAGCTTTATTTGAAATATTTCAAAAAATATTCAACCGACCCGGGACTTTTTGGACACCTGGTATAGTTTGAAACAAGTTTTGTATTAGGAAGTGATGGAATAAGTTAAATATTTAAATTTGTTCTAATATTTCTTGATTTTGATTGGTCGATATCGACTTACGGTATACCTGGAAAAAGTATAATATAGTCTGGAAAAGTCAGGGAATTTTATTTTCTAAATTTAGTACCAACCCTGTATTTAATTATTTAGTTTTCATTGACATAATTGAATTCTTTGTAAACTAGGGTAATTCCTCATTCTCTTTAAGTGTGAATGTAGCCATTGTCCATAATTTTGGTTGCATAATTTGCCTTTGTATTATTTATCTGTTGATTCTATATTATACTCAAGTTTAGTTTATACGCAACATTTGGTGCTATTAAAAGTAAGTACTGTAATAACAATCACACAGTATTTAAATTATTCAGATTTTGGCTGTGCTGTTTAAGATAGTGTTAATTTTCTTTTCCTACAGTTACCTAACAATGTACATGTTCTCTCACTGATTTGAGAAAGCAAAGTGGCCAATTCGCTCATCAGTGAGACAATTTTAACATTGTCTCACTCTAATTACTTTGTCTCACTCCAGATTTGCAACGTGACGGCACGAAATAGTGAGCGCGTAACATGCAGGCAACGTCGTATGCGCGCGAAATACGTTGGCAGCACTGGCTGTAAATCAGCTGGTCAGCTGTTGTACTGTTGTTTTTGTCACTTCACATTAAATGTTATATTAAAAGTTCACTTCTGTGTAAAAATAGGTTATGTTTCTTCACAAATTTATTTGTTTTATGGTAACTGTAGGAAAAGTATAATGTGCAACTTGAGTTCAAAGTACAATTGCCTCACTCGAGAAACCATTCCTCACTCGCCTACGGCTCGTGAGTAAGGATTTCTCTCAAGTGAGTCAATTGCTCACTTTTCTCACTAGTTGCACAAATAACTATTTATACACTTTATTTTTTTATTTTCTATAAACAGGGTGTTTTTCATAAATCTATACTCATACTGTAATTGAAATTATTGTAGAGCTGCGTTTACACGAGGCCAGTAGGGCAGGCAGGTTACTTGCCTTTAATGTATTTCAAATTACCTAAGGCAAGTGGCCTGCCCGCCAAATAGCTGTGTGTGAACGTGGCTAAAGGTAGTTTTTTAAGATAAAGCATTTTAATTCAAATAAATCTAGTTTTAATTATTGACTTTTTTACTTTGTTTATCATTATTAAATTAAGACATATGCAGCATTATGCTTTATTGCATTTAACAATTTTTCATGACAAATAGGTTATATTCTGCATTCATATATTTTATTGTTAAAAGACAAATTTAGGTACAAACAAATAACATATCATTATAGTTAAGTTTGTTACAGTACGTATTTAATTGTTTTCTAGTTTTAAGGATTTTAATAAAAAGCCAATGTTAACAAAAATAAATCTAGTTTTATTCACATTTTAACAATGTTAAAAGTTGTTCAAGATACAGGTTTTTACTTTTAACTAGATAACCCGTTGCTCGAAATCGAGCAAAACTGAAACTTGTATTAAAAAAATAAACAAAAAACATAAACAGCAAGACCTTAATCAAAGAGTCACTCTAAAAAAATTTATATTTATTATAGAAAAATTATATTTATTATATTTATATTTAAAAAAATTATATTTATTATAGAAATATAAAAATATTATAATGTTAAAAATATAAAAGTAATCTACAATATTTAAATTTACATTTACTCTCATACTGCTTTGGTTATCTCTTATGTATAGTAGGCGGGTGCACTCTATGAGCACGTAGATGTCAACCACAAAGTGAGCTTTTGACCTAATGTGTAGCTCAATTCCTCTCTTGACGCCAAC